TGTCCAAAACATTGCTCAGATCTATTCTAAATTTGTCAAATTAATTCTTAACACAGCAAAGCTCATGCACAGTTCACATGACTTCCTTCACTATGCATGGGTTTGCATTCATCAGCACTGAATCCCATGTGCCATCCTGCTACCCCATCCAAATAATTTGCACTCACAAAATTCTCCCAAAGGGTTTCCTCTGATCCCAGCTAGATCAATAGTTCTAATACCTGCCATTTTGTTAATCCTGTAACTGATATTTATTGATATATAAACGTTCTCATCTCTAGCAAGGAGCACTTCTGCTCTGATGATTATTTCTGTTTTGCACCTTTCCATTTCTTTCAGCTCTCTTGGTCACCACCTGATTCCTGACTGTCCCTTGCCTTGTCATTTCCTTGACCTATTTTGAGAGGTTTGGCAAAGGACTTGGAATCTTCAAATAAACGATGTCAGTGATTCAGCTGTATCCACTGTTTGGTTTATGCACTCAGAGAATATTAACAGATTAACAAGCCATAGTTTTGCTTCGTGAAACCAAGAGAATTTTGTTCAGTTACAGTTTTCTAAAACTGCTTAATTAGCAGTCTGATCACAAAATGAAACAACTTCTGAGACTGGAACTGAAGTTTCTCTCTAAATTCCCAAACACAGCAGTCCCCCTCCCCCATTCTGATTTTATTTCACACGATTATTAAAAACTCAGTATCCCCTGTGTGTGTCACTCAACGTGATGAGAATGTCAGTTCCTGGAAAAGGAAGAGCATGTCAGCAGGATGCATCCTCCTCCATGTGCACGTTGTTCCTGGGTTTTCCCAAAATAACTTCAAAACCGACAAAAAGAAAAAAAAAAAAAAAAAAAAAAAAGAGAGAGAGAGAGAAAAAAAAAAAAAAGTGCTTTGGATGAGGTGCTGGGTATGGAAGGATTTACTGCAATGGAATGAATCCTTTATTCAGTGTGTCACACAGCCCAGGTCACAAGATAAAGGGATGAGCTGCATGGGCTGAGCAGCCTCTCCATGCACAGCACCCAGCTCCCAATGTGAACTCCAACATGAACACATTCACAGGGCACTTTTCCCTTCTGCAACCATTAACTTCTTCTTTGATATCTTCTTTATCTTTGTTTTTTTAAAATATCTGCTGTTTGATCAGTTTCATTAGTTGTTCTGGTTAAGTTCTACCATCTTTCCAGTGCACAAACTTCAAAGATATGATGCTTTTTATTAATACCAAAGGAATGCACTAAAAGGTCTCTAAGGAAAAGCACCCATTTCACTCTCCATCCAGAGCTCTAATCACCTGTGCAATTAAGGCCTCACATGTACAGTACTTATTAAATCACTCAGTGTATTTTTTTGTAGTAATGATGTCCTTCCTACATGATTTTGTGTTCTTAATTACTAGAAATATGTAAGCAGTAAGTGTATTACTAGGAGCAAGTAGGCAGCTAGTACACATAGCCATAAATTTTTTTTTGTCTCATAAAAGCATTACTACTCACATAAATAAGACTTAATTCACTGTCTGCAAGATACATCTATCAATAAAATGAATTTTAACTCTAATGAATTATCAGTAAAAAACAGTACCAAAACAACCCCTTTCAAGGTGTAAAGAAAAATAAAAGGTACCACTTTACAGAAGTAGTGGAAAAATCGAAATGAACTTTCACAAGCTTACTACAATGTGAACCAAACATTGCAGCTCTAAGTATTACATAGTACAGTAACTAAAACATGTAACACATCTTACACCAAGATGCAAACCACAGCTTCAGAAACGCCGGCCTGTGGTGTTCTAAGATGAGCTTCCTAAATGGCAACGCGATGCTTCTGGTCCGAAGTTTTTTCTGGACCGTGTTCCAAACGAAAGGAATCTTGGCAGGTCAGTGTGTCACCAGAACGTGCGATCCCGCATGCCACTGCCGCCTGCTTATTCACTGAAACAACACATTCCAGCAGCAAACGAGAAAGAGAAACAAACACAGCCTCCCACAGTTCCTGCTCCAGGAGCTGCCTCACCTTTCCTTTACCAGCACAGCCACTGCCAAGACCACGGCTCACAGCGGGACAGGAAGACCCAAGAAGGGAGGATTTGCTAAGCTCAGCTCAGCTCAGCTGCCCTCAGTCACCAGGTCCTGGTTCCTGTTGAGCTTTTGTTGGAGCAGGGCTCCCAAATCTGCCCTGCAGCCATGGGCACAGCTTAAAACCTCAGGCACAGCTTAAAACCTCAGGAACAGCTTAAAACCTCAGGCACAGCTTAAAACCTCAGGCACAGCTTAAAACCTCAGGCACAGGATCTGCCACATAAAAACCTCCATGCCAGGTCTGCCCTGCAAACATCACGTGGAATAAAACACAGAAACACGGTGGGTTTAAAATAAATATGTGTTTACAGGAACTGCAGATTACCCATCAAGCTGCCTTTATCTAAATCCCATTCTTGTTTGAGGCAAGGGGGCGCAAGGCTAAGTTTCATTTTCATTTCCCTCACGGAACTTTTAATTCACTGAAATTTTGAAACACGAATTAAGCCTGGAATAGAGTCTTGCCTGAAGCTGAGCACTTCCTTTCTGCAATAAAAGAAATCTTTTAGCACTAACAAATGGAATACTGAGGTATTTTCATTGAGATGCTTTCACTTCCTCTTTTAGTAACACTTTTCAGCATGACATAGTAAAAATCTATTTATTTTCAACTAGAAGAAAACATCAGTTTAATTAGATTTCCACTCTAGGATGCAAAAACATTCTCACAATTTACATCTTTAAGGTATCTAGATACCTTTCAAAGCAATTCTCACAAAACTTCATTTCATGAAGGCCAACATACTGTTATGAAGGATGAACAGTATTTCCACTATTGAATACTTTTATAGAGAAAAATGCTGTCAAAGAAAATGAGCAGGTTGACACGCTGACAATGAAGCAAATTTCAGCTTAGGATTTCTTGTCCTGAAAATGAAATGATTGTGTGATAAAGCAGACAAATTTATTTCTCCAGTCTTTGCAGCTGCTGTTTCTCAGATGCCAAGTGCCATAACTACGAGCCATGCCTGTGTGATGCACAGAAAGGCCACGCTGCCCACCAGCACCTCCCTCACTCCTTCCATGGAGAACAGGCACTCCCCTACAGCAAGATGTGACAACAGATTCAGAACAAATGTTCATTCACTTTGCCATTCTCACATTTGCCTTTTCAGTGCTCAACCGTGCTCAGCAAACCCAACAAACACCATCTACCAACAAATCAAAATCATTTATCACTAGAGCAGCTACATTGAGTTAGGGAAGCATAATCTGTTTCTAGATAGAGCTGATAGCAGGTCTACTGGGAAGAACTTCCAGGCCTTTAATAACTTTTGATCAAGAGATTTGGCAAGCCAGAAGTGGCTTTTCTGCTTCTACAGGTTTCTAGGAACATGCACACTGCTATAAAACAGATGCTGTTGATGAATACCACAAAATCAAGGCACTAAATTACTAAGAAAATATCTTGCATATCTGGCTCTACACATGAGAAAGTGACAGAAACCAAGTGACTGGATGGAGTAATGAAAACCATACCACAACTCATCAATAATTTAAATATTAAGAAGAAAAAATGTATTTTAAATTAGCTGCTTTCTTCTCCATCTTTTTTCAAATGCAGAGTTGTCAGTTTAGGCCACTAGTTCGATCAAAATGTTGGAGATTTTGCAATAAATAGATCTATCTCTTACATTTTTTAAAAAGCAGTTATTTCCAACAAGATCTTTTAAAAGGTGTTTTGTGCACTTGGGTTTTGTTAGCAGGCCACGGCAGCAAATGCAGCTGCTGTTTGCTCTGGGCAGCTGAACATCATCTCCTGGTACCAAGGGCCAGACTGCTGAACAACATCCAGAACCACTCCCCACATTAAGCACCCTTAGGACACTGGGCAGAGAGCTGGAAAATAACTGTAATAAATAATAATAATAATAAAATAACCTGTAAGAAATCAGCTACAGAGTTAATCACAGCCTGTGTGTGACCTGGCTCACTGAACGTGGGCTGTGAGCTGGGATGCAGCTCTGCCCCCCTTGCCCAGCAGCAGGACCCTTTTGCAGAGACACAAATCTCACTTTTAACTGAGATGCAATCTCACTTCAGATCTTCCTTCTCCTCATCAACTCTGCACACTGTGACAGCCCAGCTGGAGGTCCCAGGGAAGGCACTTCAGGAGCTGTAAGCCCAACCTCCTGCCCTAAGTATGATAAATACCAAATTCAGACCAGATTGCTCAAGGATTTAGAAAGTCAGTCTTGAAAACCTCCAAGGATGGAGACATGAAGTCTCCTGGACAACTTACTCAATGCTTGGCTCTCCTTATGATGCAAGCTTTTCCCTTGCTTGTCTTGCAACCCCTTTTCTTCAATTTATCCCATTGCCTCTTGTTCTCCCAACACATGGCACTGAGCACAACCTGGCTCCATCTTCTCAGCAGCCTCCACACAGGTTTTGGAAAGCTGCTGTTCAGTCATCCCAAGGATGTCCCTTCTCCAGCTGCAGCCTCTCCTCATGGGACAAGTCTGGGCCCTGGCCAGAGCCTCCTGGCTGCCCTCCTCTAGAACAGCTCCATTTCATGGACATCTTCCTTGTACTGGGGGACCCAAAACCAGATGCAGCTTTTTGGATGGGATCTTTCAAGAGCTGAGTAAAGGACTTCATTAATATCCCCTCAGGCTGCTGGCCGGGATGCTGAGTGCCATTTGGGATGCTGCTGGGGATCTCTGCTGCCAGGGCACACTCTGGCTCACGTTCAGCTTGCTGTCTAGCAGGACCTCGAGGTCATTTTCAGCATTTCCCAGCCTGCCAGTCTCCAACACCAAACACGACACGTGGTTCTTCCCTCCCAAACACAGGCTTTGCATTTTTCCCTGATTCATTTCATAATGCTTTCCCTGGCTCACTTCTCCAGCCTGCACAAGCTCCCCTGGATGGCATCCCTGCCCCTGAGTGCATGGGCTCACACATCTTCTAGGACCACATTCCAGTATCTGCTGGAAGCCAGAGCCTTGTGGTTTCTTCCTGTAACCAGTGCTGACCAACTTCTGCTGGCTCCTGCAGCACAGACGTTCTTAAATGTCAATTCCCTTCCACCAAGACACAGTTTGGAGCACCAAGTGGTCAGATATTTGAAATGAGACTTGGCAAATACCTGACTAAATGTATGCTTTTAATGGCAACACCAGAAACGGGAAAAGCACAAAAGAAAATGTTATAGTAATGAATGCACTACATGCAATTAAAAAAATATGCCCCAGAACTCATAACTGACTGCCATAATACCTGTTAGCCTATTTGCAAAACTGATGCTAATAATGATGTTTTAAAGAGCAAATTATAATATAAAAATTAATGAGTAAACTTACTTTTCAAAATATGTAAGGAGTAAATTACCAAGTGTTCATAGTTGAGAAAAAATTGAAGTGTTCATATTTGTCTATAATTCTAAAGTCTCATCTGAAATAATTGCTTCCAGAGCCAGCAGGTTTGTGGGTTTGTAATAGAAATAGTATCCTCAGTAAAGGAAAATCTTAAAAAAAAATGTTAGAAGGAAACACTGCCAACTGAAAGGAAAAAAAATCTAAGAAAAATACTCTGCTGGTCATTTCCAATGAATCCACATGAAAGTGTTCACAAAGCCCTGTGGAAATGTACATCAACACAAAACAACACTTAACAAGCTTCTCCCCCTGGCTCCATAGGATTACACAAATTTTTGTCTTAAACAAAGTTTAAGACCAAGATTGATTTGATACAAAATAAAGTCAAATTAAATATAAAATATCGGCTACTGTTCTGAGTAGTGAATAAATTACTGTATTCGTTGAATACAACATACTGAGAGAGTAAATGAAAGACAAAAATAGTAAAGAGCACTCCATGCATTTACATTGCTCCCATTTAAAGCATGTAATTACTTATTTATATGCATTTTAAAAGCCACAGTAAAAACACAATAAAACTTTCAAAGTCATTGCCTCTTTCACAATCCAGAAATTCTAAAAAGTAAGGGATAAAAACTGTCAGATTTTTATTTTACATGTATTCATACACATATTCATTCAGTCACACTGACTAAAGTCAACTCTAACTGTGACCCATGGCATTCCACGGATTAGGTTCATGACCTCAGAGCATTTTAATTCTTTTCTAGATGAGGTTATTAATAATGTTTACTGTAGTTGAAAACATTGCACATAAATTGCAGTCTTGTGCAAAATTTATGGCATGTGGCAATGAAACTAGAGCCTGAAATCTTAAAAGAAGAAACAAACACCCCTAAAACCCCAAAGCCCCCAATAACAGCACTTTTTTGCCCCAATACTGCTGCAGCTTTTAAGTAAGATCTCTTTGTTTTCCCACCACAAGTGTGGCACAGCTGCACCCCAAAGAGGATGTATAAACTAGTTCAGACAAGCACTCAAGTTTAACAGCAGCATTTACAGTCTTCCCACTCTGCTGAAAAAATATCTGTGATATTTCTTTACTGAAATAAATACCTACCAGAGCAAGAAAAAATTAACATCTTTTTCATCACCTTAGGTATTTTTTTTGAAAGGTACATTATCTTCAAGTAAAACCTGAAGAAAATGTAAAAGACAGTACAAATATACAGTATGCAGTGAAAACATACACAAACTCATTTCAAAGAGGAAGGATAACCACGGGAGGTTTAGTATGGGCAGTTCAACACTGTTCCTACTTAGGAAAATTCAGGCAGTCACAAGCAGCCCAAGCTCCAGAGTTCTGTTCCAAATGAACACAAGTGAGCTGGCCACAGGCTTTTACAAAAGCACAAACTTGCCAGCTTGATTGAAAAGTTTAGAGACAAAATCCCTGCTTGGAAAACTTCATTAGAAAAAAAAAAAAAAAAAAGAAAAAAAGAAAAAAAGAGTTTTAAACATTTCAACACTTTTTAATTACATGTTCCTGTATCAGAAATTGAAAAGTCAAGAGAAAAAAACTGACAGCAAGTACATAAAAACCGAAAGTTCAGCATCCACAAGAACCATTCCCTCCTCCTCCTGCCACATCCCAGTGGTGGCCCCACACGGTTCCCTTGCTGAGCTGTGCCCAGGCACTGCTCCTTGCAATGTGATGCTGCTGCTCCTCTGCCAGGAAAGCAGCAGCTCAGTGCCACTGTGCTGGGCCAGCCCCACTCCAAAACCCTGCTCCTTCCTCAGGACTCTGAAGTCTCACACTAAGAGAGCATTATTCCATGATAAAACTCTACCAGCAGCCTCTTTCCACAGAGGACACTCTCACAGTAGGAATAAACTCAGCTTGAAGGGAAAAACAAGTTCTAAAGGGGAGTAGGATTGTAACTCATACCAGCAAGAACCTGCAGCAATTTGTTTGTTGGAAGTCAATGTGATAAACCTCACGTACACCTGACTGCTTCTAGTCTAGGAAGGGGTGATGAGTCTGTGAAGCCTGGTGCTGTCAGAGTGCATCACTCAGGAGTCATAATTATCTTTTGAAAACAATCAATTAACTGTCAGAGGAGGAAAAGTCCTGTCCAAGATAAGGAAAACAGAATTACATATAAACTCCAGCAAGTTACATATAAAACTACATTTGAAAATGATTGAGAAACGTGGCAGAGAAATCTGCTAAGGAATGAAGATTAGAATCATCAAATGATGGAATGAACTGGGCTGGAAGGGACCCATCAGGATCATCCAGTCCAGCTCTTGGCTCTCCACAGGACACCCAAGGGTGCCAGCCTGTGCCTGGGGACATTGTCCAAACTCCTGAGCTCTGTCACACGGGGCTGTGCCCACTGCCCTGGGGAGCTGCTCCAGTGCCCAGACACCCTCTGGGTGAAGAATCTTCTTCTAATATCCAACATAAAGCTCCCCTGGCACAGCTCCAGGCCAGTGCCTTGAGTTCTGTCACCAGAGAGAAGAGGTCAGTGCCTGGCCCTGCTCCTGCCCTCTCCTGGTCTCTCCTCAGTCCCTTCCCCAGGTGAACAGACCAAGTGACCTCAGCCACTCCTCAAACAGCTTCTCCTGCCACTCCTCTGGTCACTCTCCAACAGCTTTTCATCTTTTCTGTATCGTGGTGCCCAAAACTGCAGATGGGACTCGAGGTGAGGCTGCCCCAGTGCAGAGCAGAACAGGACAATCCCCCCAGTCACTACTAAAATGTTTCATCACTCGTCAGGAGGAGAAAGCTTCTAAAAAATGATGATGACAATGGCTAAAATCTCTCAAAGAGGACTGAAAAAAAACCCTCTAAGAAGTCTTCCTATGTTATAGTTTCTTAGAGAGGTTCCTGGGGAAGTTCCTAGAACAAAACTGTATTTTGGAGGGGAAGATACTTTCATTTTCATTTTCCAAAATCTTCTGTATCAGAGAGCATGATTCCAAATGTTCTGTGTAATCAAAATATAAAATTAGAAAACTAAATTGTGAGTTTCTGAAGACAAGAGAAGATAAGGTTATCTGAAGTAGGCAAATGTTTCATCTATTTATAAAAGCATTATCCAGACTCTTTTCTTGCAAGTAGCAAACTTGCAGAAGACATCAAATTACAGAACTAGTAACCCTACAGAAAAATAAATTACACTGGAAATGAATCAGAAAGGCTTCTCTACAGCTAGATCATAAATCATCCATCAATTAACAGCTCTTCAACAAAAGTAAATGGATGTACTCAACACAATAGAGTCAGTAAAAAGTCTTTTAGCAGGAACATGCACCAAATAAACTCTTAATCAAATTAAATTGTCATGGTATAGGAAAACAGCTCTTTTTTGAAGTAATAAGCTATTTTTAAAAGTAAGAATAAATGAAAAGAAATAAGAAAATATTCTTATTTAAAAATAAGAATAAATCTCTTTCCCCATGAGATGCAAATTAGATCTCTGCTGGGCTCTGTGCACGTGTCACAGGGGCTGATTGACTTAGGGTTTTTCTTGTTTGTTTTCTACAGATAATTTCTGAACACATCACAAACATTTAACAGTAAATTCATCAAGTCCAGGGACAGTAAAAGAATCCGGAATAGTCAATACTAAAATATTTGTGATCATACATGAGAGGATCTTACAACACCAAACAACTGGATCAAGAAGCATTACCCATTCCTTGAGAAGGGGAAACTAAAGCACGTGAAAAAAGAATCCTGAAGATGCACATGCAATACCAGACTTTTTGTTACCACTCAGGAAAGGGAACCTGAAGCAAGGTTCACTTTAACCACATTACCTCAACTCAGTGTAATATCTCTAGCTGTAGCAGAATAAAGAGGTCTAAGGCTATTTGTCTGTTCCACTGCTAATTCCTGTTTAAAACTCAGCCTTCCAAAGTTCATATGGTTCCACAGCAGTAATACAGATACTTTAGGAAGGGGAAGGCAGCACACACAGAGCAGTGAGAAGAAATTGCAGAAATTGTACCATCAGCATTTTGCCATAGGTTGAAATTTAAACAGCAAATCACAGAATCATAGAAAGGTTTGGATTGGAAGGGACCTTCAAAATCTTCCAGGTCCAACTCCCTGCCCAGGAACAGGGACACTTTCCACTATCCCAGGTTACTCAGAGCCCCATCCAAGCTGGCCTTAAACACTTCCAGGGATGGAGTATCCACAGCTGCTCTGGGCAGCCTGTGCCAGTGCTCACCACTCCCATAGAGAATCCTCCTTTCACCTCATCTAAACTCACTTCCCTTCACTTTGGAGCCATTCCCCCTTGTCCTGTCACTACCTGCCCTTGTAAAAATTCCCTCTGCAGCTCTCTTGTAGCACCACTTCAGGCCCTGGAAGGCTGCCAGAGGAAGGTTTCCCTTGGCCTCCTCTTCTCCAGGCTGCACAATTCCAGCTCTCTCAGCCTTTCCTCACAGCATGGGTGCTCCATCCCTGTCACCATCCCTTGCTCTCCTCTGGACTGGCTCCAGCAGCTCCATGTCCTTGCTGAGCTGGGGAGCCAGAGCAGGGCTCCAGGTGGGATGTCAGCACAGGGGCAGCATCCCCTCCCTCCCTGCTGCTTTCTGCAGTCCCAGCAGAAAGTTCTCACCCCCTGTGTGCCTCTTACTGGGCTCTGGAACGTGGAGGTGCACTTTGCAAATCTCATTTACACATTTCCAAATTGCATCTCAAATTAGGTAATTTGCTCTCTCCTCTCTCTCTGGATCAGTAGAGAATCACACCCTCTCAAACAGGAAACCCAAAGAAGGGGTTGACTCCAACTAAAATAAAATGACAGCTCCTGAGCACCCCACTCTTACCTCATCCATGCAAGACATCACTTACTGTGAAACTGAAACAGCACATTCTTTTCTGCCACACTTAGAGCCAGTCATCTGAAGAGACAGGAGTCATTAAGTTTCCTTCTTTGAAACCACTGCTGAATTCAACCCCTCATTTAAATACAGTTTCCACTGGAGTGAGGCTCTTGCAACAGACAGGTAAGGCATTACCCATAATAGGTGAAATAGTGCACATAAATATGCTGTTACCTAACTCACTGTAGTAAATTCATACTTTAAAAGGAAAGCTTATAAGCACTATCATATTTAAGCAGTAAGACATAAGAGGGTGTGCATGTGCTGTAATAATGACACACCTTAATAATATAAGAAGTATGTCAACTATTATCCCATACTACACACCCTAAAATGCTTCAGCATAGATCCCATCTATGTATTTAACAAATGAAATTAGAATACTTAGAAAATATGTCTATTCAGTGGCTGATAAGCTCAAAATGTTTCATTAACAAAACCCAGCCAAAACATAAAACATGCCACCAAATGCTCCTTTTCAGGTCATGCTTTCCAGCCATTTCTTTTCATGATCAAACTACAAATACCAACTGTTAAAAAATACTTGCATCATTAAATGTATTCAAATTCTGCAAGAAGAAGTTAAAAAAGGAAAGAGAGACAGTGAAAATCTCATTTTCTGTAATTTTGAAGTGTTCTTGAAAGCTTAATGATGAATTTTAAAAGAAAGGTACAGATAAAACCTTGAAGTTCTTCTTTTTGTTAAACTGCTTCTGTCTTTCCGTTTCAACAACCAAAGAAATAGTTCAAGAAAATCATCCCACTTAGGTTATCTCTGTTAATTCCCAGTCTGAACTCAGGGGCTGGAGTTAAGTGGTTTTAGCTGAACTTTTACACACAATACTACTTGCAGTCTAAAGCCAAAGTCAGCACAAAAATCTGACATTTGATTACATTTTCCTTAATTATATCATTGTTCACCTTGGATCAAACTGAAACCTTTCAGAAAATTATTGAGCACTTCACTGAATGCTATCTACTTAGCCTTTGCCACATAAAATACAAAAATAATTATGTTTGTGGCAGCCAGAATAAACTCAATTTAACACTGATGTGCCTTCATTTTAAACCAAGCTAAAATAGATTTAAATATTTTATTAATTACATACGATTCCACAGAAGTTGTTACTGCAATTTTTTTTTCTCAGGCAATGCAACTCACATAGTGACTTTCTTCAGCTAAGGCACACTAGCACAAAAAACTGATATCAACAATCTTTCAAGCCTGAGCAAACTTCACAAAGTTATTGTTATTTCATGTATTTCCATTCACTTAATCACTCTTTGGTTATACAAAATGGATTTAGTTTCCTAAATCATATGAAGCTTTCACAATTGTATTACTCAAACTCACAGAAAATTGTAAATATGTATTTATTACACTAGGCACAGTTTTCCAACTACACAGCTGGAAATGCTGCTAATCTTTTGAATGGAAGACATTCAGACATGAAATGACCAAAACACATCCTTTTAAGTCACTGTATTGATGAAAGTGGAACAAGAATCAAATCTTGAATTTCAAAATAGAAAACCTCAGCCATGTTTATATAAAAGAGTCAGCCATAACCCAAACCAGCAAGTGACTTTTGGGAGTAATTTTTGCTCCTCGGTGCCAATACAAAAACTGGCTGTGGATGCTGAAAAGCTGCTCATGCAGAAGTGGCTGCTGCAAACACACATTGGTCACAGGAGCAAAATATTTAAATTGGGGGGAGGGGGGAAATGCACTCTCCACCCACTTTTTGAGAGGTCTTGCCAGTTCCTCTGCTTTTTGGGAGAAGCAGATCAAATCCAATATCTGAGACATGAACCAGATATGAAAATGGTCCAACAACAAATCTTCAAAATTGCAAATGCCAACAAGTCTCTACAAGTATATTACCAGGCCAGAATGCAGGAAAATCCTTGTGAAATAAAGTTTTCTGGTATGCAGTTATAGCAAATAATCATGAGGTGATGCCGAGAACTAGACAAATCTGGAATTCAAGGAATGTTAAAAACATTGAGGTCACGAATGCACACTGTAACTTTAGTACTCACTTCTTATCCCACTAGTTTGACACTAAATCGAATTCATTCTTCATTCTAAGCTTATAAGCCATGATTTTAATTAACATCTCTCTTTGTCCACTGCTACAACAAATCAAAAAGGAAACAATATAGTTTAAAAAATGAAGTGAGGTTGATTCTGCACATGCCATGTACACAACAGGAGTATTGCTTGTTTTTAAAATAGCACATTATACCATAGATGTGACAGTAAACTAAAAAACAGATCTTCTCTCTCAGATCAAACATTTTGAATTTATTTATATTTTTTTAGAATTCTTCCTGCACTCCTAGCTCACAGGTAAGCCTAAAAAAAAAAGCACCAAAATCATAACTGCACTGGGCATCTTATTATTGAAAGAATCTTTGGCTTGATTATAATCCAGTGTAATATTCTGCATGAATCCACACAAAGTAGTTACATAATCCAGCCTTGTCCTAGCAGCCTGTTTTACACACACCAGAATGGATTTGTGTTGAACTGCCTTTGCTTAGATAAAGAGCTAAAACTAAGCTCTGAAAACACAGAGACTAAGGGAGAAGAGGGAAAGGGACATGAGCAGAAAGTTAAAGCCATTTCTTATATTAAATTTCCCACAATTTATGGCAGACTGACAACAGAAATACCAGCAGCTCAGTAAAACAGCAGATCATTTCATTTGGAGGTGGGAGGTGTGACTACACCTCATGTATTATATTAAAATTACTTTAGACCTAATTTATAGATGTTCTAGTTGCCTTTGTCCAAGTAACTTGGCAGAGATTCAAATTAAAAAAAAATAAAAAAGAGAAAAAATGCATTTTTGACTTAAGGATAACCAGCACTGGTCAGTAACAGGGCATGATCTGCTTTTCTGATCTCCTTTTGTTGACATAAATAAAAGATCATTTCACAGCAAAGTTAAGGAATCAGCCAGTGTAAAGAAAAGACGAGCAAGCAGTTTGGGGACACCTTTATGACAAAATCCAGACAGAAAAGCTTCTGCAAAAGCATCAGCAGTAGCTTAGAGCATCAGTAACCTTTGTTAGAAACATAAATCCAAGAAAGGCAGGAGAAGGAGAAGAGGGAATTTGTTTTTTTCTAGGGAAACATGCAGAGAGCAGGTGAGATTTTAAAGGATACAAACCTGCAAGACTTGTGATTTGCAGTCAGGGAAGCTCAAGTTGCAAACAGCATCAAGAGAAATCTTGGGTTTCATTTCTCCCTCTCTGCCCAGGTTCACTCCAGAGCTCAGATTTCATTAATTGCAGGCTGATGTGCAAGCATCACCCTACAAGCAAAGCCTGAACTGCCTCCTCTCCAAACCAACAAGCTGGAGCTTCAGAGATTCATACCAGCAGCCAGCTGAAATGCTTCACTTATTACTCTGCTATTGATATAGAAATAAACTTCCTTTTTAGTTATGCTGGTATCCATGACAGCTGAATAAAAGCAGCAGTTCAAGGGATGCTTTTGAAAATCACAGACACTGCAACCCAACAGACCCCAGAGAGGTCTCTCTCAGCAACATGAAATAAAATCCCAACACTCCAAGGATCAGCTGCACCATTAGCACTCATCTTCAAAATCTGCCACTTGTGAAGGTCTGGGCTGCACTGGTTTATTTCTGACACCCTCCCTGCAATGAGGAGGCAAAGAAGGAAAGGTTGTGCTAGGAGCAGTCCAGGTAAAGTGCTGGCAGAACTGCTGCTTCCACACTTGGAATCCATTACAAGAGGCCGTGCCTGTGGCAGATCCCCACTCAGAAGTTCAAAGACGAAAATTCTTCTTGGTGACCAGCCCTAAAATAAGCACTTACAAATCACATCTGAATATAGTTCTATTTTTCTTATTATGACCAAACCCACACTCCTGTTACAACAAATATATAGAAAATCGTTATTTATTGACTTCTACTTAAAATGAGAGTTTTTTCTTTAGAAAAATTCTCAGTCACTTATCAAATGCATACTGAAATTAGGATCAGAACTGTACAAGAAATTATAAAATACCACATTACTAAATAATAATACAGAAGGAAAAAGGCCATCTAAATAATCTAGCCACCTTTTGTATCCCCTAACCTTTAAGTTCATTCATCAATTTCTTTTTCCACCAGATTTTGTATAAAAGAATGCCAGATTTGTTACATGTTACTGAGATACAGACAAGACTCCAAAAAGGTTGTACAATAAAACCTGAAAATTTCCAAGTGGTTCTGTCAACTCCATGCAATCAGCCAGAAGCCAGCAGCACCATGCTGTACTGAAATGTTATTAAGCAGTGTTTGCTTTATAAACAAACAAAACAACATCCCAACCTCAGGATTCATAAACTGAGCTCTGTTGAGATTTCAGTTTGTGAAGTGGTGCTGGAGGTTAACAGGCTACTTTTGAAATGTGTTAAATTAAAAAGAAAAAATAAATAAACTTGGTAACAAACTTCCAAGACCTTTGCCAAGGATTGTGCATGGCACAGCCTCAGTCAGACACTGAAGCACTGGAATCAGCTTGGAATCTGGAAAGCAGAAATTTTACCAGCTGGGAACTGCAGAAAGCCTCTGCACTCATCTTTCTGTTTGGTTTCACACTGGATAATGCAATGATAAAATGAGCTGTGGCCCACAGAATGCACAGAATTGTGAAGCATCATCACAAGATTTATTAATGTTCTTTTCTCTTCTTTGGTGAGCACAGCTAGGACACACCTTCTATAATTTATTATGAATAAGCACCTACACTGTGTAAAGGTTTCAAAAAAGTTTTCAAGTTTAAGAAGCCAAACCACTAAGATGATTTAAGCCAGCAGAAGAAACCTGCATCAAAACACAACAAAATTTATGTAGAGTACAAACTAAAAGGTTGGTCAAACTGAGGGGTTGGGGGAATATAATGTACAAGTACTACTGATTAGAAATTCTTAGCATGAAAAGTATCAGCTTTAAAAAAAAAAAAAACCACTAACAAATTTGTTAAAAAAAAAAAGTAAAATACCCTTTATTTTCCATTAATCTGTTTTCTTGAACTATTAGAAAACATTCCACAGTGATTTACAGTCATAGGAATCAACTTCACAGATAAATTATTCCTGGATTCCCAGAACACATTCAACAACCCAGTTCAAGTTTCACAATCTTGTCTCCAGCCCAATAGACTGTGTTTGATTAGATGCACATCATCTGCTCCTTCACACAACCCCAGAGAGGATGGCTTTGTGACAACTGGATATATGGCTATAAATCCAACACACAACACTCCTGCTGGCTGGCTTTCCCCAAAACCACACCAATTCTCAGCTCCCTGCACAAACACACAGAAAAACCAAACCAACCAAGCAAAAAACCCCAGCAACGTCAGTCAAGAAATTGTCTAAATTACAGCACTTCAAGCATAAAAGAAATTCCATCTTCGTACAGAAAGCTGACAGATCATCTGTAATAAGGAACTGAAACAAAACATAGAAATTTTAAACAACAAACTGGAAAGTGGTTCTGAGGTAATTCAGTGGTTTTCAGGGTTGTTACATTTGTTCAATTCTCTCTCATCCTCCCTGGCAGTTACAGAAGATGATCCAATGGTGACAAGGTTTGCTGGTATTAACAGCAAGGGCAAACACCTGACATTCCCCCAGAGACCAGCTCTCATCTCCCACAGTAATCCACAATTTTGCTTCCTTCATCTCCATTCTGCTGTCCCAGCCTGGTGCCTTCCCACGGCTCTTTCTGCAGAGAAGCAAATGAGCAGGCACAAAGGAGAGCCACCAGAGCCTTGGCTTTTCAGATTAACAAATCTGAGAACCTCAGGAGATTATCCAAGCAATTCCCCTTTCCATGTCATTCCCCATCAGAAACAAATAATACTGCTCAAAATGTTCATTCTAAATAGCACGAGCTCCACCTATTTAAACATTTATTACTGTTTACACCAAATCTCCTTTGCTAGAGAATCCACTCACTCACCATATCCTCAAAGCACAGGGAGAACAGTTCATCCTTTCATTTTATTTATCTGAAGTCTTCTCATGTCTAACCCCTGGCCATCTCAGAGTACTGCTTACTTTTATTCAGAAGCTAAACTTCTTTGATTCATGCTGAGCTCAACTTTGCCATTTGTGGAGACAACAGATGGGGAAATGCAGACATGGCACACACCTCAGACAGGTACAATCACCTGCATGTGACACAAGGAGAAACTGGGAACAGGAGTTTTGCAGAACTACAGAACTGCATGTGATAGTGCACACAAATACATTTCAATTCATTTCTGTGTGCTTGGGTCAACATAAAAACAGTGCTGTCAACCCAGAAGGTGCAGCACTCACAGGAGTTTTAACTGACTTAAAAATGTTTGTGTCTTTGCAGATAAACTGCTCTTCTGTTGATTCCAAACTTACATGGATTTGTGTTCATACAGAATTATTCTGAAATGATCTTCAGGGATGATTAGTCCAAAGTGGAATAGGTCACTTAAGCTAAAGAACCTCCTCTGATGTTTAGGACACTTTCAGCTTTTCAGAAACCTGTGTCACTTTAGTCTACAAAATCCAGAAGCTAACATCCATTCAATAAGCCCAGATTCTAAAACCAGAATGTAGCTGCTTTAGAGCACAGCAGAAATAGAACTAAAATACACCACATTAATATCACTCTAAGTTGTCTAGTGGAGGCCAATATGCTCAAAGAATATAAGCTGAGTCCAGAAACACTCTGAGAAAAAAAAAAAAAATTAATCACTGAACTTTTGCTATCATCTGTTTCCTACTAAGTGCTGAATGCACCTGTTCTGCAATATGAGAATAAAATGAGAATAAAAACAACACAGTGCATTTGTAAGTGCTACACTGAGCTCTGCCATGCAGCAGTTCATTGAAGAATTACATATGTAATGATTCTTGAGAGGTAAAAAGCATTTGAGGGGAAAAAGGGGCAAAAAAATCCCCCCACCAAAGAAAAAATCTCTGCAGCTGACCAGGTGCACTGAAGGTTAAATGGGTGCTCTAGACAACTCTTTATTCAGGTCTTTAAAAGCATTAATGTTAGAGAAAAATTGGCTTACAGATCAGCTAGCTAAGACTGAAGCATTTAAAGATTAACTCCCTTAAAACTTTAATCACTTCAGGCCTTAACTGTCTAATCTGCAGCTCTAGTTGTCTCTTATGTCTTATTTAAAATAAGCAGTGAAATGTTCAAGCATCAGATGTTTTTTCTCAGAAAAGATGCCTTATACCAAAGTGGTAAAACAAAAATAATACTGAGAGATCAGCACTTGAATTTTAGAAGTATTGCTTTTGACTGAATGTGTAATGATTTCCAGAGACTGCAGTGGAAATTTTCAGAAGTTTAGGACTCCTGTAAAACTCTTCTACTTTAAAATCTGGCCTTCTTTTAAATGTCTTCCATTGAGTGCAACTTTGAAGATAAATGAACTGGGTTTTGGTGGGGGTTTTTTTGATAGTTTTTTCTCCCCATTCCAACTGTAAAAGCTCCAACAGAAGTAAATAATTAGTTAAGATCTCGGAGGTAGAGTTGTAACTCATAAATTATGAATGTAAAAATGAAGTGGAAATTTGTACAACACCAACTAGATCAGTCAGAATACGAATACACTTGGAAAATACCATTCCTTACTCTCATTTGTTTGGATTTTTTTGTATCTCAGGTTAGTTGGAATTTGAAAATTTAATCCAGTCCTTCATAAAAGCCATATTCCACATCCCTTTAAGAGTTCATGTCTGAAGCAAAACAAAAGTGCAGAAATGTTAAGCTCCACTGCAAGGGCTGTACACAAAGGAGGAATAATCTGATTCCAACAACTCCAGTTCCTCCTCTAGAAGGGAGCAGGCAACCTTCCAGAATCCAAAGGGATATGTGCAGCCTTCCTTTCTCTCTCAGTCTCATAACTTGGGTAAGTAGTCTTCAAATGGTTCTATTAAATAGCACTTTTTACCAATTAAAAATAAATTTTACAATTTAAGTAATTATTTGGAGAGGTGATTAGCTTGTCTAGACATATATGTTAATTTCTATACTTGCACATACTTGAAATGCAAATTACTAAATCATGACACTGCTGTTAACTCCACCAGCAGTTACAGTGGGAAATTTCCTTACCTGCTGCTCACAAAGTGCAGAACACATCACATCCAGTTTAAACTCCAGACAATGTAACTGTTTCTAGGTATGACTTTCACTGGCCTCATTAAGATCAGCCTCCCAACACTGAGTAATGCAGATGACATTAGTTTAGCTAATTTGGCCCTGGGACAAAAATGACTTTACAGTGTAACATTACATAGCAAAGCTTCCTCTGATGTAGAACTAATTATCATGTCTAGAAAGTCACACTGTGAAATTAAAACTGCATTAGAAATAAGAAAAATATGCAGAAATGTAAAGCTAACTCATTCAACCAACATAAACTCTCAAGCATTCTTTCTACAAGCAAGAACAAGAAATTTGATTGTCCTAACCTTACACTGCTCTGCATGTCCCAGCTGACTTTACAGGGTTATTTTTACACTTCAGCTGCATCTGAAAACACTTCTCAGAAAGAGACAGACTATGGAGAAGGATACCCAAAAGTGTTCATTTAAAATATCATGGGGGGAAGCCATGTTCTAACTGCATTCTTTCAAAAATCAATGACTGAAATGCTTTTCTGAGCCAAATACTTTATGAAGAATGAGCATAAATCTCTCTTTACCCCTCAGAGTCAGCTTACTTCCATGGAACTGGAAGAAACTCACTCTGACTTGCATTTGTCAATAAATTGCAGATGGACTGCTATTTGTCAGTAAAATGAAGATCCTCAGATTCTAAATTGAAATTGTTCCTTACATTTCTCTTGAATAGCCCACAAAAGGTTCCAGCAAATGGAAGAAAAGCATTTTATTGCTTCTGAAGTAACACTCAATATATATGATACATAACATTAAGAAATATCATACCTAACTCACAGTTACATCACACAATTTAACAAAAAAAAAAGGTAAAATAGTCTTCAGAGCCTTAGCAGCTATTTTAATTATAAATAATCCATTGCAAAAGACTCCAGGTATGTTTCACAGCAATCTGCAGGTGGCTTATCAAAGTTTCTGCATTCAGTTATAAACAGGATAAAGTTTAAAGCTCTGAAGTCTTCAGTGAAATGGCAAATGCAAAAAGTATAAGGTTAAGAAAAATCTCTTTATGTCATTTCAGGGGATGCAGACAAGTAGGAGGTGTGAGAAAACACTGACCAACATTTCCTGGCAGCATCATTCCCTCAGCACAGACTCATGGCTTTGCTCACCACTGACAAACAGAAGACACACAATTTATTGAACAAGACAAATTAAAGTACTTGACTTGAATAAAATTGAATAGAGTGTATTTCTGTTGAATTCTGGACAATGTGTGTGACCAGAACATGGCTATCACATAAAAACAGACACAGTTTGAGTAATTTAATCCTTTAATCCAGAACACACATTCACTAAATACAACGCCCTTCAGTAAAGTTCAGACTGCAATTATGTTTTATAATGACCCAGTTCTCTACATATTTATGTCAAATTACAAAAGTACAAAGACAGTCAAAGTAAAAGGTGAAATTGGGTCATCCTTTCTAGGGAAGATGTTCTCAAAATGATCCCTTTTCACTCAGTCAAAGGTCAGTCCAGTAGGCCCAGTTTATCCCATAGGTACCTGATTATCAAAACTGGACTCAAAAAAAGTTAAATATTATTTGATGTGGTTTTCTTATTTAACTTGAAAATTACCTACACAATTCCACTCTTCACATTGCCTTAATTATGTGGCAGAAATCTGATCACATCAATTCAAACCCACAGGGACTGAAGAGAAGAACCCTACAATAAACTCTCAGATGATTTTTGTCCATCAGTTTTTGGCTGGAGCTTGGACTAAAGGGATCTCTACAAGCTACAGAGAGCACAGGGGCTCCCAGAAGGAATTTTCCATCTCAAAGCACTAAAGCTGCAGGGGTAGGGGTGTGCAAAGGGCTTGGCCACTACTTCTCCCTTGCCTTGTTTCATAAAATGCCATTTCCAACACGAATAGGACACAACTATTCGATCATTTAGGGACACAGTGGAGTTGTCACTGCTGGAGGTTTCTGAGCTGAGACTGGGCAGGCTGGTAGGATCATCTCAGCTATGCTTCCTTTCCCATGAAAGGCTGGACCAAAGCTCATTTCCAGGTCCTTCCCAGCCTGGGCTGCTCTGTGATCCTGTCACCTGTGGATGTGTCACTCATTACATGTCAATGCAAATGACCCCATTCAAACTATGCTAGTTGAAAAAAAATATTAGAAAAATCCCACAAATGTCTAAATTCTCAGGCAAAGAACTCACAAAAGAGCTGAGAGTGGTGGGGGGAAGTCAGTGGCACACTGAGATCATCACCAATAAACAGCTCAAGGCTTTTTCACAACAGGAGAACCACCCCTGACAGAAGACAAAGTTCACACAGCAAATCTCCTTCAATCCTGCCATTAAGTACGAAAAGCTTTGGCCTTTTTCCTTTGTGAGAACACAGTGAAGAGAGCTTGCCAGGTTTTTCAGATACAAACCATGGCTTTTTTTCCATTTAGCAGAAACCATACAATTTCATACAGATGCTTCAAAGAAGAGAAAATACCTTTAAGAGGATATAAACTTGAACTTGTCACAGAACAAAGTGCTACTAATAAACACATCTAATTTTAGTCTAATATACATTTGACAACTATTCTATTCTTACCTTTCTTCTCAAGGCTTGCCTGTTATACCCCTTTAATGATATTAAATCTGCCCTTAGGGTGACAAACAGAACATGGTAATGCAGCTTTTCTTCTTTCCTTTCCATGAATTAGTGTTGATTCTTGTTAGACTCATCCAAAACCTTGAAAAAAACTTCCTGCCAAAATCTGACATCCATCAGTGATTTACTTTAGTACTTGATCTTTGCAGTATCTCTAACTCCTCAATCTTCATTAATTAAAATTTATTTACCAGCCTTGGAAAGCACATCAAAACTTGACTGATTTTGCCAACTGGCTGAATCGATGCTCTTAAATTGTCAGATTTTATTTGGAAAGTTTAAAGTCTTAATGGCTTTGCCCAATGAGTCGTTTGAGAATCAATACAGAAATAACATTTTGTCCTATTTAAAAAAAAATTATATTAAAAAAAAAAAATCTTTCTTTAGAAAGGTGTTTCTTGTAGTGCTAAAATCTTACAATTAAACTTTAATGAGAGACAACACCTGGACAGAGATTAAGATTCACTGCTTCAAGAGAAGCTGTGCTGATTTATTTCACATCCTCACAGGCAGTCAGACCCATTGCTTTCTCTGGACCAGGTAAGGAAGATCTGGGTAAAGGCAGAGAAAACCCTGCCATGGCTCAGCCTCTGTGGTTGTTTGAGGCAAGATGAACCCTCCTGGCTGAACCTTGGAGCTCCCCCTGTTTCAGCAGAGCTCAGCATTGCCAAACCTGCACTTATGCAAGGGCACCCCAGAGGCTGCAATTCCCCACCACGTGGGTGAGAAACCGGGCTCAGCCCAGTGAGCAGGGCATGGCAAGCCCTGAAAGCCCAGGCTGATGCCAGGCTGTGAAGAAATGAAACCACAGAGCCAGAGAAAATGCACACCAGCTCAGGGAGCACCTCTGCTGCACCAGGGACAGAGCAGCAAACACCACGGAGCCCTTGCTGTCCTTCGTGGAGAGCTCAGCAATGGCAGTGGCACAGAGCAAGGAGCTGGACACTCCTGGCAGGCACAGATGGGTAAAAGGCTGCTCTGGGTGCTGGGTCTGGACAATAAACTCAGTGAAGAGTCCCTGTCTTTATCCTCTGCTGCTG